ATAATAATAATAATAATAATAATAATAATAATAATAATAATAATAATAATAATAATAATAATAATAATAATAATAATATATATGACAACAGCTATAAAATGTGTAATCATGTGTAATATAAAGGTTTTCTCCATGTGCACATGCAAGGAATGTTCATATCACGAACCAGATTAGCACCTCAGACCACTAATGTGGGTGAACGCGAGGTGCATACGTGATTTTGTTGTCTTGAAAGGGTCTATATTTTGCCTTTATTTTTTCAAATTGTTTATTTTTTTTCCTACTTCTTTTCCAACTTTGTAACTTATTTAACTCATGAACTTGAAACTCTCCGAAACTTATATGATTAATAGGGTATAATGGCTTTTTAATATGTCAAATTAACTCACCATTCATTATCAAGTTCACTTCGTCGATGCAGAAATTCAGACTTCAATTTCTACAAACATCTCCATTGTATTCTGTGAGATAGATGCTAAGCAAAACCTGAAGTACTTGCACTAAGAGGGTGAATAGTTTTAAGGACACAATATTCATGTAAGACTCTGTTTGTTAATTTCTTCCTTTTAGTGATTTTAAGCATATATTTGGTGGAGATTAAAATTAGATCTTTAATAGATTTTGATAAAAGTTAATGAAATATTTGGTTAAAATGTTGTAAATACCATAAAATATATAGTTAAAATTAATTGTTGATGTTGACTTTGAAAAAAATTAAAATTAAAATAAAACTCTTAACTTTTACTTTTTATCAAACAGGGGCTAAATCTTTCTTTATAGTTATTAATTTCCTTTTTTTTTTTTATGTGATTCTACAAACTATATATATACTCTAAATGAAGAAAAAGGTACAAATCTAAAATGGACAATAATTAACATGACCCCCCCCCTTTCTTATTTATATTTTATCAATGGTAACTATAGTTTTCTTGAAAATTTTGTAGTTGGTGGAAGGATGTAGGCTTAGCAAATAAGTTGCACTTTGCAAGAGATAGGCTGATGGAGAGCTTCTTTTGGTCAGTTGGAATGGTATTTGAACCACAATTTAGTGAATGCCGAAAAGGTTTAACGAAAGTGGTTAAGCTAATCACTATTATAGATGATGTTTATGATGTTTATGGCTCTCTTGAAGAACTTGAACAATTTACGGATGCTGTTGAAAGGTTTGTACTTATAGAAAACAATAAATTTATTGCATTTTCGTACTTCAAAACACAAATTCAATTAATTATTTTGACCTGAATTTTGGTGCTCTTATTGCAGATGGGATATCAATGCTTTACATCATTTGCCTGGCTGCATGAAGATATGCTTTTTAGCTCTTTACAATACTATTAATAACATGGCATATGACGTTCTTAAGGAACAAGGTCAGGTCATCCTTACTCAGCTCACAAAAGTGGTAAGTGCATCAATCTAAAGTTCATTTTATTATCCCTAAATAATCATTTTATAATAGATAGATCACTTAAATTATATACCTGAAATCAAATAGATTTCTCGAATTAGCAAAAATCAAATCTATACATCTCAATTTAGTAATTTTCTTTATACTTTCTTGAGATACTTATTAGATTATATTTAAACGCACTTGCCCTACTTCTGTAGGCCCATCCTCTCCACAGACTATCCCAACTAACATACCATCTGCGATTGGCCTCACCCCCTTGTCACTTAAACTATATTTTCCTTTATTACCTTATTTCTTTAAATTTTACTTTTTCATAATTTTGATTGGATGCTATAAAAAGTTTTTGTTATAAAAATTAAATTTTAAATATTTTTATTATATTTTAAAAAAAAGTTTTTGTTAAAAGAAATAAATTCTAAATATTGCTATAATATTTTAAATATAATAAGATATGATTTTTTTTCTTAGGAACATTATATATTTTGCAAATCCATAATTAATAGATCAACAAATATAAATATATTTTCAATATAATTTAGTAAAATATGATTTGTTTTCTTAAGAAAGTTATATATTTTGCAAATCCACCTGACATATTATTAATAAATCAACATATATAGATACGTTTTCAAATCATTTAATTAAGTTTAATTTAGTTCAGTTTCCCTAATTTTTAATTTTTTTTTATAATCTTAACATTCATACTATATTAACTTCAAAAGATTAAAATAATATTATCATAATACTAAAATCACAATAAATTTGACATAAAATGTTTAAAGCTTATATTTCCCTTTTGTTCCTTTAGTATTTAAATCAATTTTAATTTGTTCATTTTTTTAAATGAAAATTCAATTTTTGCAAAATATGATTAAGATAAGATCATTTTGTACAAGAAGATGATAAAAAAAATAATAATAAAAAAAATAAAAAAATCCTTCTTTTAAACTAAAACAATCTAACTGTGTCTAAATTAAATTATAAAAAAGCAAAGAACAAAACAAATATAATTTAAAATTTAGCATCATAGATAAGAATAAAATGAAAACTTTATCCTTATTCGGGAGGAACCTGTAAATTTTAAAATATGAGGGGTATCTGTGGATTTCTAAACCTCGTGACAATTTATTCTTATCCAATTTTTATTTTCTTTTGTTCTTTTCTTAATAGTTGCCCAATATTTTACATTATTATACAAGCCCCAACAAAATTGTATTTCCGCTCCCTCTTTTTTCTTAGATTTTGATAGCTGAATTTATCTCTGCAAATCATGTTTTTCAGTGGGCAGATTTGTGCAGACTGTTCTTAAAGGAAGCGCAATGGAGTTGCAATAAACATATACCTACTTTTGACGAGTATCTTAGTATGGGATGGTTATCATCATCTGGACCACTTCTACTTGTTCATGCCTACTTTCTAATGAATAAAAATATTACAAATGACGAGATAGAATGCTTCAACGGTTACCGTGCTCTCTTACGCTACCCATCCACAATTTTTCGCCTTTGCAATGATTTAAGTTCCTCAAAGGTATGTTTCCTTTTAGATCACTTTCTTAGGGGATAACAGTACTTTATCAAGAGATTAGTGCTGATATAAATTTTTTACTGTACCAGGCCGAGATTGAGAGAGGTGAAACGGCCAATGCAATTTCATGTTACATGCATGAAAAAAGTGTTTCTGACGAAGTTGCCCGTGAATACATTAAGAGTTTGATAGATGAGAATTGGAAGATGATAAATAAAGAATTGGTTTCAAATTCCATTTTCAGCGAGTCCTTTATTGAAATAGCCATAAACCTTGCTCGAATAGCACAATGTCACTACCAGTATGGCAACGCTCACAGTGATCCAAATGACATAACGAGAAACCGAGTTTTGTCAGTTATTATTGAGCCCATTCAATTGACACAGCCATATAGGAACTTAAAACTGTCCGTAAATTAAGAGAAAAGATTGTTAACTTAAAGAAGTGTAACTAGTTTATATATTATAAGGTTCATAAGGATGATTATTGAACAGAGGTGGTAGATAAAGTGATAAGGACGTAGCTGGTTCAACCCTCACCGAGAGGATGCTGCTTGCTGAGTTATACTCAAGTCGAGGGTCGGTATTAATGAATTTGCTTCAAAACTACTTCATGTTACAAAATCTGTATTGAACTTTTTGTAAGTAAAAGTGTTCTTTTGTTGGGAATATATACAAATACTATAATGAATATTGATTATAATGATCTCCTTATGCATTACTATTACTGGTCGTAGTGTAAAATATTTTCTCGCACTTTTATAATAACATGTAATACGAAGAGTAAGAATGCAGAAAAAGATTGAAGATGACTTCAATGCCCCTTCTTTGAAAACAAAACTGAGTTACACTGACACTATCCGAAGCCCTGACCGACCCTCACAATAGAGGGTGGGACCACTTTTTTCTTGCAATTGTTTATTCATGTGGGGCTCAGTGTTTGTGAGAGGCGGTCAAAGCTTTTGTCATCCTCTTTTTTGGTAGGGAGGCTTTTTCTATAAAACAATTGCCTCAATCAAAGGACCAAATGCTACCTATAACTCAACATTATGAATGAAAATACCTATTTATGTCAAAAGGTTAAGGGAACATATTGGTAAGGTTTTTGAGAAGTCAAAAGCTACTTCCAAGATTAAAAAAGCTATTTTTAACATGTTTGGATACTTTTTTCAAAGTGTTTTGTTTGACCACAAGAGCTTGTAGAGGAAACTCACCTAAGATAATTTTTAAAGAAGTCTTCTACAAGAAGTAAAGATGAAAGCAAAATCCAAAATTGTACTTAAAATTAATTAAACTAAAGCACTGCATACTTAAAATTATAAAGGAACTGAACAACATCAGGACTATGCGTACAGTCTGGAAGTGTTTTCCCGTGTGAGTCCTTAACTACTGCCCTCTTCACTTGCTTGCTTCGGTTGCTCGCTCACGGCATAATAAGCTAAGGCTTGTGCATGGACATCATCCTTCCCTAAAAATAAGATTCGTACTTGAATCAATGCAGCAGCAATCGTCATAATAAGTCTCCCAAGTACGGAAAGAGATGTTTGACATTGAACACATCAGCAATTCATGTGGATGGGGAGCTTGAGGCGATAAGCCTTTGGGTTTCAATAATCTCCATGGCCCCGATTTTTTGAGGCGATAACTTATTGCACTCATGCGAAGTAGACACAAGATTATCAGAGATGGGTTCGTTCTTGTGAGCATGCTGTCAAGGAGATATCAGAATGATGAAGTACAACTGGAGAATGCCTATGTTCGTCATTACATGATGTAGATCGAACAATAATTATTGTTGGAACAACAAAGCGGATTCATATTTGCATAAAATTCAGAATGAAGTAAGCTGCATATGGAAATTATGTTGTCGAAAATTCGACTAATGCAATCAAAAGAACAAATAAAATAAGCAGAAAAATAGAAAACAGTAAATGAAGCGAGGTATGCCAATAAAATAAGCAAATCTCCTTAAGACAGATTTCGCCCCCCAATGAAGTGCAAACGGGATTATGGACGTCTGTCTCCCAAGATACAACGCTCCTTCCAAAGTTGATATTGCACAATACCAACCTTCTTGGTCGAACCAATGAAAGATTGTACTCGAACGGAATAACCACGGAAATATAAGAGAATTTTTAGAGCAGAATATGGAGAGAGAAGAATTTATAAATCAATTGAATTCGTAATTGATTTGGTGTCCAAAAACGAATCTGGGGGTCTCTATTTATAGAGATTGAAGTGTTTCATGGAACAAGTGTATGACATTTCAGGAACTGGTGCACCACTTGGTCTGACTCGTCTTAGCCATTGGATCGCACTATTTTCATGATCTGACGGCTCAGATTGAATCATGAAGTGAAGTGTTCATTCATCATGCATATTCATCAATTTCTGAATAGTCACAGCCATGCGGATGCCACGCATACATCTAACCGCCACACAGGACGAAGGGACGCGACCTACCACACGTACGCCACCTAGAATGCCAAATCACCGAGCCTTGCACTGCCACATCATCGAACTACGAGTCCATTTTCGAAAACTATAAGACTCCCCAGCTCCTCGCGACGATGCGTACGTGCGAAGTGCGCCTCTAAAGCGCCCAATGCGTACTTTGCGACGTGCGCGTGCCAGGACCGAGTCCGGGGAGTGGTGCTAGTGGTGACTAGCCTTTGGCTAGTTTGCTAGCCTTTGGCTAGCTAAAGTTAGCCAAGTGATAGATAACTTATTAAATTATATATTATTCACACAACCCACTATATAAACAAGACTATTTTCTTGTAAATTTTCGATGTGAGACACCTTTCCATATAAAAAATACTTAAAATGGGTTTATCAACATATGGGCCTATATTGGAAACTTTTCTAATTCACCCAAATTAATTGCAATGACCCACATTATTAAATATTACATTTAATATTTTAAACCCAAATCAAATTCAATTAATTCCAACAAATTATCTATTGATTTAGCAGTTCGAAGATTTTATTACTTTTTGACAATTTTAGATTGTTTATTTTGATTAAGGTTTTGCCTACGGTATACTAGGATTTTTACTGTGGTTTATAATTTTTTTAATTTTTTATTATAGAATATGATTTTCTTTTGTTGTACAAATAAGAGAACTTGAATCTTTTGAAAAATGTAATTTAGGCTTGTTTGATTTTCATTCTTCCCAAAATACATTTTTTTCCTCTTCTTTTCAACAAAACATTATTCATTAAAGTAATATTATACGTAAATCAAATTTTTTCCCTATTTTCCAACAACGCATTTCCCATCAATCTACTATTCGAAAATGCATTTTTCATAAAAATGGGGCTCAAACACCCTCTAATGAAATATTGAAACACTTATTGTTCTTAACTATGTTCAAATTCCCATTACTCTAGGAAATCAACGAGTTTTTAATGCCTAACTATCTAAAATTCGCGAGTGAATAAATATGAATTAGAAGATTATTCGTGATTCATATATTATCACGCTTCTGTGCTCACTAACCTATATCACGTGTGTAGCTCCGAGCCAATTAAGAAACAGGCTTTCACAATTATTCTTTTAACTCAAACTACAATGTCGGGCCTATAGTTTAGCCACTCAATACATTGAGTGGATATGAAATGAACATACAAAATATAAGGGTTTATGTTAGTTCTCTTAACAAGATTGGTCCTTACTCCTTAAAGATGAAACTTAATTGAATTCAAATGAGAAATTTGATCAGACTCATATTTAAGCAAGTACATAGATTCAAAATTAATTTGCTCAAACGAGCCACAATCTTCTAGAGGATGGCGGGTTAAGTGTAAATATCCCACATTATGAAATATATATTTCAACATCTATGGGTTGAGCTTCATTTCTTTCTTTTTTTATTAAACAAGGTTGACCTTTTAAAAAAACAAGTTTAGGGTTTTGTCATCCCAAATTCGACATGATTAAGGCCTGCATAACAGTGGGATTACATCCTGTTGGAAAAATTTAAGCTTTAAGGACCAACTTGAAATTTCATTAAGGAACAACTGTGTATTTAACAGGTAAAAACATAATTTTTTGAGTACAAAAATATCATTAGGCATTTCATATCAGTCTAATACCTGATTTCACATGCAATTCAAGTAAATCATAATGAGAAGAGAACTAGCAAAAGGGCAACAGAGGTGGACTTGAATATGTCACGGGTGCTCATGTTATTCACCTTCATCAATTACTACACCCAAAATGTTGCTAAAGAGATCCCCACCCCTACTATTCATGATGGTCTACCCTGGGCCATAAATTATTCAGAATCAGTTCTTTGACCCTCAACAATGTAAATATTATTCCAAATCTAATTTAATTAAAAGGACAATTTTCACTGGAATTTTATTTTAGATTGTACAATTTACCATTATTTTTTTCAATTTGATCATACAACTCTTTTTTTAAATAAAAAATAATCGTCAGTGTCACGTGACTTACGGAATGCTTCACTTCGATGCTTGTGTTGTGACTAGAACTGAGAAACTGAAATTGAACCTAACCAACCCAATCTAATCTGTTTAGCCTGTGGGAAAATGGCCACTCTATCCATAGGTAGCTTATTACTAGCAGCGCCAACAATGGGAAATCATGTGATAAAAGTGGCATATCTTAATTATATAACAAAACCAATTTGCTTTCCGCAATAAATTGGGTTTTCTTCCTTTTAACCAAAAGTAACACTTTATGCAAATTTCTAATTAGTTCAAATACCAAAAGGCTGCATTTGTACAAAGCCTGAGCCACTACTAAAGCCTAAAGAAGCTCAAACGTGCTCTGATCAACAATCATGGCAAGCATAATCCGCGATCGTGAGGACTCCGACTACTACGAAAGCAGCAGCTGCTCTTCCATCACGGTGCCAGATTCCACCCGGAGTTGGCTGAGCAGCCTCAGCTTCGGCAGCCACCGGAGTTCCACCTCTGCCTCCCTTTCATCCTCCTCTGACATCCCTTTTTCTAGCAAGCCACACAAGGCAAATCAAACAGCTTGGGAAGCCATGAGGTTGCTCCACCGTGAGAAAGGCCAAGTAGGGCTGGAACACTTTAAACCGATCCGCCGGCTAGGCGGTGGTGATATCGGAAATTTGTATCTTTGTCAGATGAGAAACCCTGTTGACGGTTTACAGCAGTGTTTAAATTCCATGAAAGTGGTGGATAGGGAAGCTCTTGCCATAAGAAAAAAGCTTCAAAGAGCAGAAATGGAGAAACAGATTTTGGGTATGCTTGATCATCCATTTTTACCAACTCTATATGCACAGTTTGATGCATCTCATTACTCTTGCTTGGTTATGGAGTTTTCCCCTGGTGGAGATTTGCACGCCGCCCGGCAACGCCAGCCAGTGAAGCGTTTCAGCATTTCATCTGCCAAGTAAGTTTCTAATTTTTTCACATTTGTTATAAATTTCTGACTTTGTGTAGTTTCTTCTTATGCTTGCTCGAAGACTAAGACTTACCTAAAAGTTTCTTAAAAACGTACTTGTATAAGCTAATTTACAATCATATTGCTCGCTATTATCTAAAGTTTAAACCCTTGAAAATAGAACAAACTTTCTTATTTTTAATATGTCTTCAACAC